TAATACTGAAAAGTTTCTATGTATGCAGAAGAAGATTGCCCATTACACTTTGGGCAACATAATTAAGGTAAAAAACTAGGAATTTCTCAGCATACATGCAGGTATTTCAGACAGAAGATACTGGTATGTCCCACACATGCTTAGTGAGGGACCACTGCTGATGAGACACCAAACATTAATTTGTATAAAGTTTACACCTAATTTTAGAGAAAGGATGTTTTAACTCATAGTTATATATAGTTATATGTTATAGTTATATGTAATTCAACTTTTAAAAAATCATTTCAATGAATGCATTCAAAAGCCTAAAGCCATCCATTCAAACGGGAAAACGTCCAAGATATTGAACACGGACTATAAAACGTCGTGTTTAGATGAAAGCAACTCAAAAGAATCTGAATTTAAGGCTCAGACCAAATGTTGATTATGATAATGAAGCAAGAGCTTTGTAAACGTAAATGAGAGTTCCTCAAATGAAAGGTCGCTACAAATTACTTTGGGTTCTCAGTGCAATGCGGAATTTGACTCAGTAGGTCAGGAGAGCGGCTGAAGATTTTGTATTTCTAATAAGATTGTAGATCCAGGACTAATTGGGCAAAGCATTAAACTAAACATTAGTGTGGTATCATCCCCCATCCCCCAATGCAGATACCAAATCGGACAGTCCTTAATTGGACTTATTGAGCTTCTTATGTAAGACAGCCTTCAAGGGAAAAAATACATTCTCTCAAACCCCATTATGTCCCTCCATCTCTTCTGCCATCATAATTGGAGTCCCACTTCCCACGTTTCTTAGATTACTGCAGTAGTCTCCTAAATGGTTCCTCTCCCTCTAGGCCTGCCACCTCTCATTCATTCTCCACACCAAAGCGCTAAATCAAATCCTTCAAAAACCCAACTCTGGTTGATATTCTGCTGGGGCCTGGGTAAACTGATCTTCGGCCACTGTAGCGCCGCCTCCCACACCTACACACACTCCGCATGTCGGCCCTAGTGCACTTTGTCCCAGCGGCCTTCCTCTCTGGCCTTTGATTTTTTTCATGCTAGGCCTCCTGCTTTACCCCTTCTTCCCTGGCTACCCGCCCCCATCACTCATCCTTCTGGACTCAGGTTAACGCCGCTTCCTCTACCCCAGATTCCTCAGATGCATGATGGTTCCCTTTTAGAACTTACTAGACACTGTTACTGCTTATCTGTCTCTCCTGCTCAGCTGTTGGTTGAGGAGAACAGGAATCATGCTTATACCTGTACTCTGCTTACGGCCAGTGCCTGGAACGCTAACTGGCACCTAGTAAACACTTGAAGCGTCATTGTAAATGTATTCATCAGCATACATATAAGGTATGATAACCCTTGTCTAGAACGTATACTGATTGTATCTTTCCTCTGTCAACACATTCCTTCCATAGAAAGGATGTAGCAGGACTGACCAGACCACAGTTTCAACCTGATAAAATCTTACTTATCAGGAAACCTTGATTATAATTTATAATTTCATTATAATTTGATATTAATTTGGCCACCAGATAAATATTAACTACCACTTACTTTGAACAAATGCTAGGCACGAAGGGAAATAAACACTGGAAGAAAGACTGAAAACCAAAACCCTCAAAAACAGAAGTAATGGATATTAACTTCATATAAACAAGTAAGAGCTATGAAATTGGTGTAAAAATAAGAAATATAAACAAGGCACTATAAAGCAGCAAAGAGAGAGAATATAATTTGGCTTCTGTAATTGTGAAAAGTCTTTCCAAGGAAGGAACAGTGTCTTAGAGGATAAGCAGAAATTTTCCAGATGGAAGGGGAAGTCACTCTCAGCAAAAGAAAGTGTGCAAAAGCACGATTTAAGAGAGGCCAATCCACAGAGACAATCAAGACACATGTCTGAGGATTTCAACACCAAACGAATTGAAGAGCTCTGCCCCATGATTTAATAAGTTGATTACACTCCAAGTACACAGCAATTTAAGTGAACTGAAGGATTATATCTACAAATTAGGACTTACGAGGTGCCAGTTAGTGTTCCAAAATATTCAGCCTTCCTATCACTCTAATCCCCACCTTTCAACCTTCCTGGGTAACTAAAATTATGATTCTCTCCTTTTTCTTAACACCCATCTATAATGTATAATTCAAATAACATACATTTGGGATACTTATTGAATAAGTGCTCTGGTTCTTAATTTCAAAATGCTGAGTTGAATACTTTGCATTAAAAATGTTTTTAATCGAATAATTTCTATTAGTGATTTAGTGGACTTCAGAGAAAAATAAGACATACATTCTATACAGTACCCATTCCTACATGTATTAGAAATAAATAAAAACCATGATAAAATGAGTATGGATTTTAAAAAATCCCCTCCCACCCCAATAAATCTGCATGTTCTCAGTGTCGCTACCGCTTTCTTCACTCTTTGAATGAGTAGTATAAACAACCTGACATTTTCACTAGGGGAACCTTGGGATTATTAAAAAGTAAAAATTAAATCTATAATGTTATTGGAGCTCGAAAAGTGCTGTAGCTTGTAAAATTGACAAGGTTCTTTTTCTCTTTAATGCTTCCCCAAGTGCCTGTCAATGATGTAAAGCTGTGAGGAATGAGTAGCATGAAACGCAGCTCCAAAGGCTTGAAGTTCCATTTTTTAGGGAATGTATTAAATGTTAAAACATTACATTACAAAGCGTTAAAGTAAAACAAACAAACAAATATAGAACTACTTTTTCCAACTTAATAGTCCTTGGCTTTGCCTAGAATTTTCATACGGTTGACTTTACTTCGTCTTACTTCACCTTATGCATTCTTAGTGTTTCTATTTGACCTCTGTGCAGCTGTATTCACAGCGCACAGTACAAATAGGGCCACACCAGCTGCTGATGCCTTTGTGGGCAGTATAATACATTACCTTTCATCCCACTTACGGGAGAATTAAGGGGATGGAGTTAGTGAAAATTCCAGTTAACTACGGGTTTAATTATGTAGCTCCAAATCTCTCCAGGAACCCCCTCCCTTACCTTCTCAAGACCTTCAAGTTAATGAAAAGGGGCTGGTCTGTAGTTACCAACTACTAATTACCTAAGAGGGAAATTTTTTTCCTACTATTTCTAAGAGAATTAGAATAACAAATAGTTGTGCTCTCTTCAATAACTTCAGTGAAGTCAAATCTGCTTTCTTTTTCCCCAAAGATTACGTCGTCAAAGTAGTACAGTGAGATTCTTTCTAAGTATAAATGTCTGGTGGCGTTATGTGTTGATTTCATTAGCTCCTGTTTAAGTTGTTAGATAAAAGTATGAAAAAAATTTGGATTCCAAATTTCCACTAGATAATATAAGACACCTTTTACTGTATTTTCAATAGAAACTTATACTTGGCACACTTAATGTATATCAGGAAATTTAAAATGTTTAAAATCATCTAATTGGTATACATGTACACTAACATAAATGAAAAAGGAGAGGGAGGGGAAAAAGAGACCGTGAGAAAAGAAGACGATTTTTTCTTCTCTCTTGCACAAAAAAGAAAATTTCAAAAACACTTCTTTTTAAAATTGGAATTGAGTTTTTCAAAAGGGAAAATATGATCCTATGTTTTACAGGAAATCACATATCTTAATAAAAGGTAAAATACTGGCAGGTAAACCACAAGGTGGTGCTACAATTCCATGCTGATGCTGAATTTTTAGAAGTTTAATTGACAAAGTAGTTTCTTTTATAATCTCGATTCATAAGTTTTTACAATTGAAAAAATAATTGGATTATTTTTCTAATTGGATTCATTAATTCTAGAAAATTCTAGAAATATTTACTGAAACTACTAAATTCAAAGTTGCATGCTAACTTCAAAAGTTCATAATTTTCAAGTATGATGACTACACATGTACCTGCAGTAGAATATTAAAAATGCCTTCTTAAAAGTTATCTCTACTTAGAATTTTAACTTACTATTAATGTATTTTAATAGTATTTATAGTATTTAGTATTAATAGTATTAATACTAATTAATAATAGTATTATAGTATTAATAGTATTTATTCTATTTAATAGAATTTTAACTTACTATTAATGTATTTTAACTTACTATTAATGTATCTAACTTACTATTAATATTAACTTACTATTAATGTTCCATAGGTGACAAATACCAAATTACATTTATATAAGCACAGGAATAAATAAAAGAATTTATCTAGTATTTTAAAATGAATTTCATTTTTCTTTTAATTTAACTTCCTCTAAGACTTTTTCTCTCTCTAGAAAGATATATAACTTCCCATCATTTAAAAAAACAAGAAACAAAAAAACCCTCACTGTGTATCTTGTAATACAGGAATGGCCACCATCTGGGTCTGAGCTGCTGCTCTTAAAATGTGTTACAGAGTAGAGCACTGAAATGCCCGGCACATTTTCACCATTGTCCAACCTGCTTTCAAATACAAAAGGAGAACCATGCCCTAACTTCCTCAACGTTAACTGAAAGCGTGTTGCTGCCTTTTGACTGAGCGTGAAATAGCTGTATTTTTGTTGTATTTCAATCTCAATGAGCATATTTAACTTTTTATTGCAAGATATTCGTCAGTACAGATGGCAAGATGGTATGTATGAGAGCCTCCTGGGGACAATATGCAAGTCCCAGGTGGAGTGTTTCCAACAGGATGTAAACCATGGTCCTCAAGCCTGTACTTTAAAAAACTACTTAGCATGCTGCCAACAAATGTCAACACAAAAATACAGTGCTGGAATGACTTCACGCTGTAAAAGAAATGTACTGGCACCTAAGTTTTCCTAAGAATAGTAAAACTGTAAAGCGGTATAATCACAGCACAAAAATATTTAAGTATTTATTCAACACTGAATGAAAAAGCTAATATACCAAATGGAATTCAAATTCTAATAAAAATATTACAGTATATTAAAATTGTATAGAGAACTCTTTAAAATATACAACATGTACAGGAGCCAAAGTCCTAGAGAAGTTCATGCAGAAAATTCTATAATTAGTGATTTGGACATTTCAGTAACTCTGCAGTTTCTTCAAAATATAATACATAAATAATATATTAAGTAAATAACAAATTCATAGTGAGTCATAGGAATTAGGTTGCTGCAGTTATGCTTTTGAGCCTTAAATAAATTTCAGTGATTATTTATAGGTAGTTACTGTTAATAAGTATACTATGGCCAGAAGGGGAGGAAAAACAACTAGAGTCAATTATGTGTCTTTAATTCTTGAAGCATAAGTTATTTCGGCGCATCTCAATTTCCAAAAAAAAAAAAAAAAATTATAGTCTTTTAAAGTAGTAGGCTGCATGATAATCTTACACAATTTCAATTCATATTTTCTTTCAACTGTTCTTTAAAAAAAATCATGTAATTTCCTATTTGTACTAGATAAAAGTATCATATTTAGTACTACCATACCAACCATTTTCTGAAAAGGACTAGCAATACTTTCACAATACTTAAAATGTCTCCAAACCATCCATCTACATACACAATTTAATATTTTGATAAAGTAGTTATCAAAAATAGATAACTTCTTGATTATCAACCAAAAACATCCCTACACTCTTTAATCTCCAATTAATTCCATTAACAATGTTTTACATCACTTGTTGGAAACAAAAACAGTGACTTATCTCACAAACACATAACTGGAGGTGGATTTATTATCCACTGGAGTCTTGAAGGAAATTCCACACCTGATTGAGAGACCTTCAAGGTTTGAAACACACATGCACATTCTTTATATATCGTAATCCAACACAATTCCCTATAGAGAAATGAATTTCTGTTGCCCCTTTCTGTTACTTACATTTTTTTCATCCTTTCCATTTTCTGGATTGTTGTTTCCTTTAATTTAAAAAGCAACAAATTTAGGCCATTTCTCAAAGTAAACCATAATCAAAGATGGACCGTGAACATGTAAAACACAGTCTAAAACATTGCATTAAGTACCGTTTATTTATCACAAAGAATTTTTATGAGATTAAGATTTACAGTTTCACTATTTTTCTTGCCCATGGCTTCTGCAACTAAATCTAATGCTTGCTTGTTCTCTTGACCTCACAGAGGAAATCACCTAAGTAGTTGCCAGTTCTTCTTACCTCAGAAATCTCTTTCAAACCACAGTAATTAATAGTTGAGGTTCTGGGAGTTGAATCGGATGATACCATACTATAACCAGAGGACAAAGGAATATTTGCTTGCCTTTCCTCTTTGCTTTTTCTATCTGTGGAGAAATTAATTTTTAGGTTACCTTTTCCTTTCATAGTAGAGTCAAATATCTAAAATTTTATCTATAGAGGGAAGAAACATAAACCTCTCAATATAAAGTGCCTACTGGTATAGGTCTAGATGAGTTTTTAATATTCTTTTAGGATAATGACCTGCATATGGAGATCTGGATATTAAAAACTGGTCAATAAAAATCACAAAAAGTAATATTATCTTTATCATGATAGCAATCAATTGAATATGCAGGTTAATGTATTTTTCAATAAGCTACTGATCCGTGTGTATTTTTTTCTTAAAATGGTGGCAACTATTACTAAAACTGACTATATGTACTTCCTAAAAATCAGGAAACATTCCACCCTAAGTTGACATGTATGGAAAAAAGTTGCTTAAAATTCAGGTTCACAGATTTATTGAAGAACTGAACAACTTTCCATTTCCAGTATCCTGATATTATTCAACAAAATGATGGCAAGTCTTTCCTACCATCGAATTGGATATAGAACATCAGAGATAAAACAAGTTCCTGTCCAACCAATCTCATAAGCCCTATGTTTTTAGTCATGGTACAGTTGGCTGCAAAAACAAGGCGAAAAAAAAAAAATCAGGTACCCATTTAAACTGGTTTACATAGTTTAACTGTAAGCCTACACAGACAACCTCAATCAGGGAACAAAGTGTTAGCACACGAGGACTCTGGTCTCTCATGGAGCCACAGTCTCTCCTGTCTCCTTCTCTTGCCTGTTTGCTCCATTCCTCTACTTACTAATGGGCATGAACTTCTCCAAAAGCATTCCCAACTTAACATGATCCTCAGATCAGACTGGTGAACTGTCGCTCTCAACATCAAAAGGAATTCAAACCCTCTGCTTCCAGGTAGCATGGAGAGGTAAGGTGTAATGTGTCAGGCTTCATAAATTTGACTCAATTGATCAGGGTCCGATTATACATTTTTTGAGACTAGGTATTCAACTCATTCATAATCTATAATCCATTTCAGATAGTGGTCTATCTGCTCATCACTCTTAAGTCCTAGCATAGGACTAATGTGTTAAAAGTATGTCCTGTAACCTGTTATTTAAAAAGTACTAAGCCCAAACAGGTGAAATCGAACTTGGAAAAGGCAATGTTTTGCAAATAGCAGACTTCAGTATTCTTTCAATGCATAAAAACTTGATTTCTACCATATACAGATAGATACTGGTGACAGAAGCACAGACGTTGTGCTAGACAGACCATAAGATAAAGTTCTTGCTCTCAAGGATCTTAGAGTTGAGCTTTGAAATTTGTTGAGTAATGAATGAAGGATAAATGGAAAAAAGTCAACTTCTACCAAATCTGAAGTTTGTAGTCTATAATAAATCTACTGCCAGAAGCAGCATCTCAAATAATTTTATTTAATAACCTAATTATTGAACTTGTTTTCTGTGCAATGAAACTGGCACGTGCACTGAATATGTAGTGTTGAAGAGAAAACGTCAAAGCTAGTTTGCCTCTTTTCAAACTGTCCCATCATTCAATAGCTGTGTGGCCTTTGGCAGTTATTTAATCTCTCTTCCTCATCTGTAAAATATGGGTTATAATAGCACTTATCGTGCTTTGAGAATTAAATGCTTTACTATCACAGTTGGAACAGTGCAGGCCTGTAGTTACCACTATAATGTGTTGTTGTTAAATTGTTATACACATAGTAGCTGAAAGATTTAATGAGGTTAAACACCCACAGATTTAAAAAGTTAGCTTCATTATGAATTCTCAACTGGACAAAATATCTCTTCTGCAAATATGATTTAATTACAAACACAACAAAATTTAGACCTTTGTCTTTTCAAAAAGTATAAGAATCAAAAAAATTAAAGCTTTAACTGAAAAGCTGCTCAGAAATCTTATCCCTGCTGCTCCGTCACAATGACAATGTCAGTAGCCTAGTGAGGTTAAGTGACACGAAGATTTGTCCTAATTTTAGGTCCTTCTCATTTTATCACCATCAGTGAACTGTTGAAATGCAAGAGGTCTGTAACACTTTAGAGGTTACTGACAAATGTGTTTTTTTCTCTTACATATATTATTTACATATGCAAAGGCTACTACTTAAGTTTAAATTAGAAACTTTCGAGGTCCATTTATTATTCTAAAGCACTTTGCAATTAAAAGAGTAAAACATCTCTAAAAGTTTGCAATTTTGCACACTGGAATTTATGCAACTACTACATGTAAGACATGTAAGTTGGCTTTTCTAGCAATCCTTGACTTATAGTCTGTAAGTTTGATATTTTCTTTGTTCTTAGGAGATTTGCAATTTCTAAAAAAATAAGGTTTGAGGATAATTAAACTGACCAAATACTATGAAAACATTTTTGTGAAAACTCCTTACCATATCACCAATTCCAGTACGCTGAGAACTTACCCGGATTGAGACTATCCACGTCGCTACTAGAAGCACAGTCTTCACTCATCTCATTAAACTCTATACATTCATCATTCTGAAATGATACAGTTTAGTATTTAGAATAAAATAAAAAGATATGTTCTCATTTTATGCTCTTACTGCTAAGCACAAAATATATAGATGACATAATAAATACTTACTTTTGATTATTTTATTTACAAGCAAAACATAAATATTCCTACATATAAAAAATGATCTCTTAAATGTGGAAGGAGAGAGAAAACTTGAATCTACTAACTTTCTAGGAAGGAAAGACAGACTAGGACCAGCAATGACATAACTGTCTCTAAAAGCTCAGCTTACAAGTTTGTCAGATTATCTTATTTGATGAAGAGAAAAGCAATAGTCACAACAACCATCACCAAACAGGGTGTTCCTAAACAGGCCTTCATCCCAACTGAACACTTCCCATTACCTAAGTATTCTCTTATTTAACATTCCAAATAAGAGAATAATAATGAACAAAGGAATTACTTTATTGTATCTTGAGATATTCTATAAATGTAAAGGAAAGAAAATACCTTTTTAGACAAAAGCATTTCTGTTTCAAGAAGAGTGACACGACTTAGAAGATCAGCCCAGGTTTTTTCATTCACCATCACTTTCCCTTTCATTTTTTCTTCCAAAGATTCTAATCTACTTTCTATGCAAGTCAGTTTCTTCAGCTTTTCTTGGCATTCAGCAAGCATAGTCTGTAGTGCAATAATCTCAGGATTGACTTCTGTATCCTAAAATGATTAGAAAGATTAAAAATATTACACAGATTAAAATTCCTGTAATTCAGTGTATTCCCATTTCCATGTGTTGTTTCAATAGTTACAGCAGGCGGGACAGCATGAGAGTTAAGAGTGCTACTTCTGGAGCAGGCACCTTGGACACTTAAACTAGCTCATGCGAGATGCCCGATGCCTCAATTTCCTTATCTAAAAAGAAAAAGATGACAAGAGTGCCAACTTCATTTGGGTCTTGTAAGATTAAACGGATTAATTTGTATAAAGCTCTTAGAACAGTATCAGTTTGTACAATAAAACTGTAAGTGACTAGCTTCTTATAACTAGATCTAGCAGAAAGCTAAGAGGAAATGACCGAGAAATGAGATTGTTCCATTTGCTATAAACGGGAAGTAAGCCTAATGGTCATCTGGTAGTTTTTTTTTTTTTTTTTTTTTTTTTTTCGGTACGCGGGCTTCTCACTGTTGTGGCCTCTCCCATTGTGGAGCACAGGCTCCGGACACGCAGGCTCAGCGGCCATGGCTCATGGACCCAGCCGCTCCGTGGCATGTGGGATCTTCCTGGACCGGGGCACGAACCTGTGTCCCCTGCATCGGCAAGCGGACTCTCAACCACTACGTCACCAGGGAAGCCCCATCTGGTAGTTTTTAAATGCCAACTGTATACCAAGATGTATAGAAGTCACAAGACATAGAAGACGGACAGAAAAAGAAGTTTTAACAGAAGCAGTAGAGATGAGACACTATAATGGGGTCTGCGGCAATAAAGTAATAGCAACGATATTCCGAGAGAGAGAGAGCAAAGGACAGCAAGGGCCCCAAAAGGAAAATGAAAAGGTGGTAATGCACCATTTTTTTCCATTCATCAATATGGGGAAGAGGTGATAAAGAACCTTCACTAAACAAAGTAGTATATCTCTATCTCTCACCAGACTGTCAATTCCTTGAAGTCAAGTCCTATGTCTTATTCATCTTTGCGTTACCCATGACATCTCTCCTAGTACCCTAAATATAAGCAGCAAATTGTATCTTTTGAATTATATTCAGTAAGACTTATTGATTCTTAAGTAATGGTAACAAAGGTAACATGTCATGATCAATAATTTAAAAGGCTAGAAATGTTCCAAAGATTAGATGCGGAAATAATCATGTATATCAAAGCAAGAAATATCGGCGTCTGTTAAAGAAGTCCCAGATTCTTACTTGCTGCTCACACTTAATTTCAGGAACCTGTAATTCAGGAATCTTTATTTCAGCAGCCTTTAAGTCACAAACATCAAATGCTTCATTAACATCTGTTACTGTATCTTCAGGAATGTTAGGACCATCTTCATTGTACAGGTGCCGGATCACCACAGCTTTCTTCTGCACAGAGAAAAACATGTCAGAGATGCTTCCCTGTTCTCCACAATTATTTTAAACATACACGTAGTAATTTTTCAAAAGAAACATCCTATCTTCCATTTAAGATTTACAGAAGTTTAAATTACCACATATGCATATACCAAATATTACAAACTTATTATTTTAGGTGTGATGATACAATTGTGGTCATGATTTTTAAGAAGCATTCTTATATTTTACAAAAATATTGAAATATTTATTCAATGATGTCTGGGACTTGTTTCAAATGGTTTCAGGTTTGGGAGAAAAGATGTTGGGAAAAGTGGTTACAATTAAGATGAAACAAGATTAGCAAAGATTTGACCAATTGCGGAATCACAGAATGGATACTTCTGTACAGGTTTGAAATGTTCCATAAGAAGAAGCTATTTTCAAAAGGTTAACACACTATTCACATGTAAATAATCAAGAACTGGCTTTATGAGTAGGACTCATTACAATTTTTTTTTTTTGTATTAAACAAACCACAAAACATAAGACTGTCAATAACAATTCAAACTAAGGGAAAGTCCTGAGAGTAAAGGCACCAGGTCAAACCGCATTTACGTAGGACTTTTCTGCCTACTTCCTTTTCTACGGGCAATCTGCGTATGAACATGAACTCAGCACATGTGACATAGAAGGCACTGGGGAGGAGACAACTTGCTTCAGTATTGACTCAGTTTTTCATGTAAACAAAGGAATGCACTTACTACTCCAACTCTTCTAAACTGGAATACTTTTAATAACTATTCAAATTTCTGAGAATTAAGAATTTGATGTAATTTACAAAATTCTGATGGATAACAAAGGAAACTTTATTTTACGAAAACTAAAAAGTCTAATGTCTTCAAATTTTCTGTCTTTCTTTGTTAGGACAATTTAGATCACCCCTCAGCCCCCATACTGAAATAGAAGATTGAAAAATGCATTCAGTTCTATCAACTCATACTTAGTAAGTCCTTACAGTGGACCTAATCCTGTGCTAAGCACAATGAATATTAAAAAAATCAGTGTAAGAAAATCCCTGTTTAGATAAATTCTAGTTGGGAAAGGATACAAGACACTTACATTCCTTTTCATATTGCCCTCATCACCTGGAGCAAAACAGGCATATTTTTTTTTAAAAGTAACTGACATAAGAGCCTTTTTCTTCCAGTTAAATGTCACTACTTTTTATAATGGCATAAAGTATAAATATCTTCACAGATTCCGTTTATATAACTCATATTTTGAATTGCGGAAAAATAATTCCCTAGATTTTACTTCAGCCAAAAAATACTCACATTCCTTTACCTAATGACACATCGGTTATTCATCTGGTAGTCTACCCTTCAATCTCAAAGGGCTTGCCCAAGGTGGAAGACAGCTGAAAGTATATTTACCATTATAAAATAATATTTTGGCTTCATTTTCCCTTGGAGATGGAAAAACTATCCCTAAAGGCATTGGACTCATTCAGCCACAGGTGCTTGAAGCAGACAAGGGCAGGGAAGGTATCTACCAACAAAGAGAAAATATTCAAAACACTACCCCAAAACCAGATTATAGACTTAAGGAACTATCAATCATTGGATAATTCACAGTCCTGGTATAGAAATATGAATGTATGCAAATCATGACCTATCACTGTAAGTAAAGGGAGGGTCTTTAGGAAGACTAGATACGTAATTAAGTGCAAATGTTCATGATCGCAAGAGGCAGAATTAAAGATTAGAAATATAAAGAGAAAGCCTGTTCAGTTGTACGTTTCTACCCTCTTCTTATAACTTTAGGAATGTTCCCAGATAATATGTGATATGCACTGTTAAAAATCCTTACATTCTAATGTCTAAGCAGAATGTTTTACCAGATGCTAGTCAGAAAAGTGAACCTTATACGTTGGATTGACTAGGTAGGTAACTCTTAACACTACACGA